GATTTCTTCCTTTTCCTTTGGTATAGCTGCACTGCCTCAATAGGAGAGTTCGAAGGGAAGGTGTCCGGCGCAGCCTTTGAGCTAGTCTCCAGACTTCTGGCCTCGTAGAAGGGTGCTCGAGCGACGCGGCGGGAGTTGTTCTAATGATTGGTTGATGTTCTCGCAATTAGGGGGGAAGGGGGGAGCAAAGGGGCTTAGGGGGAGGGGTCTAAGGAGTGCTTACCTGCTATTTATGGCCACTATTAGGTGTCGAAATCCTTGAGGCCGTAGCAGTAGACAAAGATAGTGGAGAGGCGGCGTTTCTATTTACGGGCTCGTAGCGCACCAATGCTTGGAGTTCTTTTCTCTTTGGGGACTTTGGTCTTTGTGGGCCAGTGGATATGTGAAGGCGGTGTTCTCCTTAGTCAATGGAGGTAGGCGACGACTAGTGGTTCTCCCGTATTGACGTTTGCTTTCTTTTCGAATCTCTTTTGCTTTGTCGGCCATGTTGCGACTTCTTCGCCCATTTTTAACAGTGGTTAGCTCGTCATTGGAGTTTTCATCGTTGTTCATTTGGGTTTTATCCAATTATTTTAAGTTTTGTGTTTGTCAAATAAAAACGGTGATATTTTTGACGTTTATTATATTTTTTATTGTAATAACGGAGGTGGTCTTCCTATCTTTTCGGATCTTTACTTTTTCTCTAATGTGGAGTCTATGTGATGGCCTATGTGCTACATTGTTGTGACTCAATCGATAAAGTTTCTACGATTGTAAAGTTTTGATCAAAAAGAGCCTTATGTGATCTTGTTCTTAATATGTCCAAGTACTTTTTCTTTTCATATCTCTAACATACATTTTACCCATTGATCGTTATTAGATTATACTAGTAGAATCGGTCTCAGTTGAGGATTATACTTTTAAATTCAAATCATTCACACTATACTACTATTTAGTATAAATGAAAACCTTTCCATAAAAAACATGTAGACATACTAATTCATATTTAGCCTATTTCTATATTGAGTAATCCTAGAAACATTAACTCAAATTTTAACTTTTGTATATCTAGTGTTATAACTTTTGTATATCTAGTAATATAACACGTGAATTGTCATCTTATCTAACATGTGAGGAATTGTCATCTTATTTATCTTATTTAACACGTGAGTTGTCATTTTTTCATTAATAGATGTAATCTATTTCATTAATTAAAGTGACAATATTTTAAATACTCACTGATAACTCGCATACTAACATACTACAATGTAGTATGGTAGTAGTATGGTAATAGTGTCTCCAACATTATTCTTCCAAATTTATTTGCAATTCTTAAGCTCATTCCAATATTACTTTTATTCGTTTGCTGAAACCAGCATTATTCTTCTAAATTTATTTGCAATTCTTAAGCTCATTCCAATATTACTTATATTCTTCTAAATTAACTAATAGACATCAATTTCATAAAGTTTCACTCAAGGTGCACTGGCATCATCTTTGCACGCGCATATTAATGTAGCTACATCATTCCCTCGAGGATGAACAAAATTTCTGAAAAATTAGCATGCTTTTTTGAATCATCATAATCATGAATATATAGGGTTAATAAATACATATTGATTTTCTTTAAAAAAAAAAAAAAAAAAACAAACAAACACGTTTGGTAATTATGATTTGGTTACATTTTTAAAACAAAAAACATCTCAATCTACAGGCCAAAACCAGTGATAGGATAAGGCCAACGAGTCCAGACCAATGCCGAAATTAGGCAGTCAGACTGGAACCACCGCCGTAATCATGTTGGGACCGACATCAGAGTCGGATTGACGGGTCGGCCATGGGGTCGAAGTCTAGATTTTCCAAATGAGATTTTATATAAATCTTTTATTTCCCAAATTAGAAGAGACGCGATTTTAGCACTTGAACCCTGAAAAAAGCTAACCGCTTCCTATATTTGGGTAAATTTGTTTGTTTCATACATTTGAAACATGATCAAAAACTTTCTGGTACAACATTTTTTTCTAATAGAAATTAAAATTTCTGTTAAAACCTATGAACGAAATTGACCACTTTGTGTCCAACAGGATGTTGATTTCACTACTTGCATTTACCTCATTTTCAGGGGCAAGAGAAGCGGAATTTGGAAAAAGTAACAGAAATACCAAAATGGAACAAAGGAACAGGCAAAAAGGCAATGACTTGAATTTAACAATTTTTGTACGTTGATACAACCTTATTCAAACGTCAAAGCTCATAATTAACAACTATCCCACAAGTACATATAGTGCATATATAATTCCTGGTATATATCCCAGGATTGTCAGCAGCAAATCTATCCAGAATTCCACCTGCATATTACAAATCAATGCATTTCACCAATCAATCAACCTTGAAACAAGTAAGAAAGAACAAATATTTTATATATATGTTTAAAAAAAAATTAACACGACATTTATTTATTATAATATTGATTTAATACTGACATTGAAGATGTGTAACGTCAAGAATTTAGTTATTCGAA